CACACACACACACACACACACACACACACACCAGTGCCACTGATAACAATCTCTTAACAAACATCTGTAACGAAGCATGCGGAGCGATAGTGAACACACACACACGCGCACAGACATTACCAAGCAGGTGTCCAGTGTGAGCTGTGATAAAGACAGCACTGAGTCTGTTGGGGAGAAAAAGTCGTTATGGGTGCGTTTGCTTGTAATTCATTGTATTTTATCTAGAGCTTTTGTTTATATATATATATATATATATATACATACATACTGGCCTTTTCAGCACTGTCTTTGCGCTTTATCCATTTTTTATCTATTATTTTTTGCTTGCATATCTCCAACAACTGAGTTTTTTTTTTCTTTTTTCTCTTAGCAAGGTGCCGCAAATGGAAAATAAGGGACCATTGTGATTCTTAATAAGAAAATAAGGGACAGAATAAGGGAATATGGTACAGAATACCTTATTCTGTACCATAATGTATGTCTGCCTGCAGTTCAAAAGTTCTCAAAAATAATCACATTTGTTTTGCTTAACCTATTTATGTACATTTATTCTGTCATACAAAAAAAAAAAAAAGTCATCGGCCTGAGTAAATTGTACCATTAAATAATTGTGACTGCACAAGTAGACCTACTAATTTAGGAGGTGAAAATACAGTGAAATTACATACAATTGCATGAAATTTGAAAGCATAACAACTGAAGGTCTATGAAACGTCAGTCAATAAAGAATTTTTTTTAAACAATGACACTTAAACGTTTGAACTAAAATATTATTGCAACCATATAGGCTAGCCTATGAATGAATGAAAATGCAAATTGTTCAATTAAAGAAAACTTAGAAAGTGCGGCCTACTTCTGGTGCTTGGATCAGTGCTTCAATAATATACTGAGGTCCAAGTTTAAGAATGCGCTAGAAGCTAAATTTTTTTAAAATGTATTTCTCTCTCTCTATTTAACAGCATTAACTTACAATAGTGAAAGACGTCTTTCCTCAGGTAGATTGAATGTTTTCCTGCCTTGCTGGATGTTGGGCTCATGATCAATAAGTTGCATTCGCCCAAACTGATTTGCCAAAATCAAAATGCAGACGGTGAAGGGAATTGGCATTAGCGCGAGTTCCGTTTGCTGTGAAGCGGGAGCAGCCGGTAGAGGATTTTTTTAGAGGAAAAAGAATGATTCATTATCAATTGAGAATTTGTTATTCATATGGTCTGGTGGTCATATGGCGTGCCTGCGAATACGGGACAAATTGTGTTAGCTTTCATACGGGACGCTTTGATGCCTTAAATATGGGCATCCATATTTCAACCCCAGTGGCATGACAAGACCGGCCCTCACGGCCAAAAAACAGACCGGCTCACCGGGAATTCTCCCGGTGCTCCCGATTAGCCAATCCGGGCCTGCTATAAACATTTACAATGGTAACGGAGTTGTGTTTCTGCTATAAAATGATGGTCACTTTCTATTACTACACCGTGTCTAAACAGGTCCCCAACAATATGTATGTTTTGTTTGGTTGTTTCTTATTAAAATGCCACAAGAAGATCACAGTTTATCGGAAAATGTTTAATGTTTAATATACAGTCATGTGGATTTCGGACCAATGACATTTCACTGCAGGACTACAGAGTGATATGAATCAGAAATAGACAACATGGAAATAGTCAGTCAGTTGTCACAGTTTACTCTTTAACCTATTTTTGTCTAGTTTTCCAGGTCAAATATCTAAAACATTTTAAATCAGGATGCATTTACTTGAGATGCAAAATGACTTGAGATAGTAAAATTTTAAGTCTTGTTTTCACTTGTATGTGAAAGAAATGTATCACAATTAGGAGAGTTTCCTCTTAAAAAAGATGGAATATCTGCCAGTGGGGTCTGAAAAATAACATTCTAAATAACAACAACAACAATAATAATAATTAAATAGTATTATCAAATATTACATTAAAATCTAAAACTTAATTAAAAATAAAGTTGTTTTTAATTTTTTTTCTTGTTTAGGCAATAAATAATTTAATAAATAAATAAAAAGGTAAATACAAAAATAAAAAGCATGTTTTTTTCAGGAAATAAGTCTTAAGATGTCATTTTGTATCTCTATGTATATCTTGATTTAAGAATGTTTTGATATTTGTAATAGAAAATAAGACAAAATATTAAAGAACATTACTTTTAATAGTGTTGGTTAACACACAAAAAAAAAACTGATTGGTAGTTTTGACTAATTTTACTCAATTAGTTACAGTTCACTGTTTTACCTCAGTATTTTTTGTCCCATTTTCTAGGTCAAATATCAAAAATGTTTTAAATCAGGATGTATTTACTTTAGATGCAACATAACTAAATTGTAATGTATCAAAATTAGGATAGTTTATTCTTAAAAAATAAGGAATATCTGCCAGTGTGGCCTAAAAAAATAAAATTTCTGAATAATAATAATAATTATTATTATTAAATATTATATGAAAATAAAAAATAATAAAAAATAAAGTAGTTTATTATTTTTTTTCTTGTTTAGGCAATAAATAAATAAATAAAAACATTTTTTAAATAAATGAAAATTTTTTTTTTTTTCCCAGAAAGTAAGTCTTTTGATGTAATTTGCATCTCAATTATGTATATCTTGATTTAAGAATGTTTTGATATTTGTAATGGAAAATAAGACAATATTAAAGAACATTACTTTTAATCGTGTTGGTTAAGACAAAAAAAATCTGATTGGTAATGGAAAAGGTAGTTTTTACTCAATTACAGTAAAAAATAAATAAATAAAATAAAAATCACCTGGTTAAACACAGTCATTGTTGACCACCACTGTCATACTAACTTAATAACTTAAATAAATAAATAAAAGATTGAGTCTTCTGACACTCTGACCAGCGGATCATTAGGATCATGAATGCATCTCAAACTCTTCTGCATCACATAAAAGAATATCTGAAGATGACGTGTTTCCTTTGAGACGTGTCACATGAGCAGCTGTGTGGTTTAATTAACTTCTTTAATTAGAGGAGAATGAACGAGAGACAGCAAACATTATATAAACGGCCCACATAATGACAGATTCACATCTGAACCGCCTTTGCATTCTCCTGGCTTTCATCTTTTCGCTCTTTTGCATCCTCCTTTGCTTCCTTAGGATCATTCTGTTGTTTCAATGTAAAGCTAAATTTAAATGTAATGTCATCACACTTTTTATTGCTGCTATGTGTGTGTGTGATTCAGACTGTCTGGGTGTAAAAACAGAGCAGAGATAATTATGATCAGAGTAATGAAGCTAAAAATAAGTATTTTTTGTAATAAATAATATTATTAAAAATATATATTAAATAATATAAGTTATTGTTATTATTACTAAAATAAAAATGAATAAATACCAAAATAAGAATTATTACTTTTGTAATATTTCACTGTAAAATAACAAAAAAATAAGGTCTCACTTTATATTAAGTGGCCTTAACTACTATGTAATTACATCAAAAAAATATGTACAATGTACTTATTGTGTTCATATTGTATTGCAAAACGGGTAAGGTTAGGGACAGGTTTGGTGGTATGGGTAGGTTAAGGTGATAGGGATTGGTCAACAGTGTAATTATAAATGTAATTAATTACATGCAGGTATTTTTAAAAATATAAGTACAATGTATGCACACGTGCATTGTACCAAATAAATAATACAGTATTAATATTCATGGCTGTCTTAATTTATTCCCATACATTTATTTAATTAAATTATGGCATTTGCGATTTGAAAAAAAAAAGTTTGGTTTTATGTTGATTATTCATGCAGCCCTACTAAGGAGTTTTTAGATGTAGATAAATGTTAAATTGCTATAAATGTTCAAGTTAAATAAGAAATGTTAAGTTAATTAATTTAGCTAGAATATGTTAAAGATTTCATGAGGTAGTAATATGTCTCAGTACTGGTGTCCTGTCTAATTATGTACCAAGTATGTACTTTCATCATCATTATGTACTTTCATGATCATCATTTTGGCGGGAAGTATGCAAGTTAAATGCAGCCACAAGTTAACATGAATCTGTCTAACAAAAGCCTTGTGAAGCTCAGAGATTTTATCCCAATTATTAATATTAAAAAAAAAAAATTCCATGTAGTTTCCACCAGATATGAGGCAGCACAGCATATTTTTATACATATATTTGTATTTGTGTCTTTGTAAGCATGTGATTAAAGCAGCAGCTGCCATCTGTCGCTTAGTATCTCTCTGATTGGCTGATGAATCATTATGCAGAGGGTCAGGGGTCAGAGGTCACAGGGCGTCGTCTGTCTCCACACTGCATGCCTGCGGTCTGTCTAAAAGCATCTAAACTCTGTGTGTGTGTGAGAGTGAACGCATCCATATGCAGAATGGGTGTGTGTTGGTATGCATGAGTGTGTGTGTCTGTGGCATATGTTGAGGGGTTGAGTCACAGGCGCCATGTGTAGGTCCGTCTGTGTTGTCTACATAGTCAGCCTCCTCCAAAGGCAGCATCCTAACTGATTTGGAATGTCTACAGAGGCTGTAACATCATTTCACAAACAAGAATATCTTTCACACACTGATGTATTAACCTACATAACAACTGAACCAAGAGCAATACTGTTGCCTTAACATGCTGTTGCATAACATGATATACATAATGATGCATAACATAATGATGCCTTAACATGCTGTCTAGGTAGGGAGCTCACTAGGTTTTAGAACAGAGCTTGTGTGTGTGCTGCTACAGAAAGGCTAAAAATACAAAACACACCACTGATGATTCATGCTACACACACACACACACACACACAGACAGACACAGACACACACACAGGTGTGTGTGTGTGTGTGTGTGATTCAGACTGTCTGGGTGTAAAAACAGAGCAGAGATAATTATGATCAGAGTAATGAAGCTAAAAATAAGCAAGTCTTCATACAGTGTCTGGAGGTGTTCAGCTCCCCCCTGAGGCAGAGCATGTGACTGCTGTGTGTGTGTGTGTGTCTAACATGATTAAGTGTGTGTGGTATTGTTCCTCCAGCAGCAACAGTGTGTGTGTTGCTCTTTTGGTGGGATGGTCAGAGGGTGTGTCCTGCCTCAATGTTTGTGAGCTGGACAAAAGAGGTGTGTGTGTGTCTGTGTGTTTTGTGGACATCTGGCACACAGTGTGTTTCTCTGTGGGTGTTTGTGTGTTTGGGCTCTATGAAGTGATATTGTGTGTTTGTGAGTGTTGGGCACAGGGTGTGTCTCTGTCTCTTTGTGTGTGTCTTTCATGGAGGAGTCAAGAGTGTGTGTGGGGTCACGACACGGCAGATGTGTGTATATTAATGAACAGCCTAAAAACAGACACATCCACACCAGCTACATCTTCATTTGCATACTATCTGTCCTAAATAGGTTGCAAGATTAGGATTTGTGCATGCCAAGTAGTACATTATGCACATTAAAAAGAGTAGTCAAGTAGCATATGTGGATGTTCTTTGACCTAGCATGGACCTTAGTGAATGTAGACACAATTTAATTTGATACAATTATAATCAGGTTGTGAAGAATGAAAATGACTACTGGAAAGTTTCTGGAAACATCTGTCAAAGCCTTGTTTGAATTCATTTCAAATTAAATATGGTGTCTATCCTGACTAAGATCCATTACCCACTATTACATGATTTTTCTAAAAAAAAAAAAATTATATATATATCACTGAGATTTAGACTCGACTCCAAGAAAAACACAGTTTGAAGCAGCAAAGTAAACAGAGTAAAAACTGAAGAGAGATATAGAAAAGAGAGAGAATATAAGATGGTAAAGTAAAAATGGCCTGACTGAAGAGAGGAATGGAGGGGGCAAAATGAGGGAGAGTATGTCATGGAACTAAATACAAAAGATAAAAAGCGCGGGAATGCGGAGGCGGAGAGAGAGAGAGAGAGAGAGAGAGAGAGAGTGTATGGTCATTATTGCCACATAGCAGCACATCTGGATCCATTCAACGACAGATCCAGTTACACACACACACACAGCGCTGCTCCACACTTTTTGTAAGTCTAAAATACAGCGAAAAGAGGGAAAATAAAGCACACGTGGTTTACTATTGTGTACAGTTCTGATCGACATCTCTGTTGAAATATGCTAAAATCATATTTTGCGTTTTTCTTGCATTTCAAAAGTTGTGCGGCTGGTAATTTTTTTTAACGGTTTTGAAAGAAGCCTCTTTTGCTCACCAAGGCTGCATTTATTTGATCATAAATACACTAAAAAACAGTATTATTCTGAAATATTAACATTTAAAAAAGTTTTCTATTGTAATATACTGTATGTTATAATGTAATGTAATTTATTCCTGTGATCAAAGCTGAATTTTCTGCATCATTACTCCAGGCTTCAGTGTCACATGATCCTTCATTCTAATATGCTGATTTGCTGGTTAATAATTTTTGGTTATTATCAATGTTGAAAACAGTTCTGCTTAATAGTTTTGTTGAAACTGCGATACATTTTATTTTTTCAGGATTCTCTGATGAGTAGAAAGTTCAAAAGAACAGGATTTATTTGAAATAGAAACCTTTTATAACATCATAATTGTCTTCACTGCCCCTTTTGATCAATTTAACACTCTTTTAAATAAAATAATTAATTTCTGACCCCAAACTTTCTGACACTCTACATTTACATTTAGGAGATGCTTTTATTCAAAGTACAAATTTTTATCATGATTTCCCTGGAAATCAAACAACAAACTTGGTGTGTGTGTGTGTCATGTTTCTACGCTCTTCTTTTATCTATTATTATGTATCAATTCACTTTGGTAACTTTTAATATAGTGATTTTCTGCATTTTGTACACCCTCAACACCAGCAATCCCTGCACATGATAAATCAGCTTTAATCTGATGTGTGTTACCTGCTTGTCGTGGTCCTCTCTTCCTTTTGAAAGCAGCTCCAGACTGCAGCGCCTCCAACAATCCATCCATGATACCAGTCTCATCATCTGAAACATACAAATGCAACATTAAACACACACAGACAATTAACATTATACACGGATAATACTCTCATTGCTATTTGAAACACACACATGAAGTATTATTGAAGTATTATTAGTACACATGAAGTATTACTGCTGAAACACATATGTAGAATCTCAGAGCAACAGTCTCCGCCACAGTGACATCAGAAGAGAGAGAAGCAAAGGATCATGGGAATGTAAACATCCTCTGAGACACAAGTTAAAGCAGACGGCGCCCCCTATCTTTCACACACTGATGCATTAACCCACATAACAACTGAACCAAGAGCAATACTGTACCACACACACACACACACAAAGGGAAGGACAGCATGATTTAAAAATATTCTGTCTGTGCAAAATAGTTTGTTGAAAGTGTGTGCGTTTTCATATGGTGAATGGGTTTCAGGTTTGTTTTCACGTGTGTATAGACAGATGGTTTCAATCAGGTCCTCTTTGTACAACATGAGGTTAAAGATTTATGGGTCTAATATCCCCTCCCCCGATAAACACACACACACACACACACACACACAGACACAGCCAGACTCACTGTAATCCCCGCAAAATCTGCAGCCAGATGGTTTTGCATCTGACCTGACAACCTACATCACACACACACACACACACATACACACACTCACACTCAGAGCTGTCTGCAGTGCACACACACCACCATGAGGTGCGGTACAGGAACAGCGCACTGATCTGGACAGATCTTCTCCCTGCTGCTTATTATATTTTACATATATTATTACATCACATCACTTAAAAAAGATGATTAAAATTAAGATTTCTTTTTTATAACACATAATAGGCATTTCACTCCTGTTTTCCAGTGTCCACCAAAATATCATGGTTACATTCTCCTGTTTGAAGAGATATCATATTTATTTATTATAGTTTTACAGTTGTAACATTAACTGCACTACGCTGGTCGACATGACACTTCAATTTAGTTTTCAAAGTGACAAATATAAATGTAACTAAATATAAATGTTCATGAAATATTTGTATTAAATGATTTATAATTAAAAATTTCCTTAAAACCCATTTAAACTTTTTTTTTTTTTTTTACCTTTTATTACTATTTTATACTCTTTTATTACTATTTTATTACCTATTATATTTTATTACTGCTTTAATATTTAAAAAAAATATACAGTATTAATAATCTTATGAATTATAATCTTTTTCCACTGCTGTTACTATGCTAAGCAACATTCCTTAAGTTTAAACTACTTAAATGTATTAATATAAATTAAACTAATTTTATATATACATAAACACTTTAAATTTATTATGATGATTTACATAAATTAGGATATTATTATTATTATTATTATTTAAATAAAATGTATTCAATTATTTTTTGGCTTTATGAATAAATACCAAAATATTTATTCATTATGGCATTTTTTATTAGAATTACTTTTATTATAATAATGGTAAGTTGGTAACACTTTACAATAAGGTCCCATTAGTTAGTTGATGCATTAACTACCATTAAATAACACTAAGGAATACATTTGTTATGGTATTTGTTAATCTTTAGGTGTGGTTAATAAAAAATATTATTCATTGTTCGTTCACGTCCATTAAATATTAACAGACAATTTTATTTTAAATAATGTATTAGTCCGTTGAAATTAACAAATACGATTTATAAATGCTTTAGAAGTATTTCATTTTCAGTTCATGTTAACCAATGTAGTTAACTTATTTTAACAAACGAAACCTCATTGTAAAGTGTTATTATGATTATTTTGCATGTACTGTAGCTTTCATTAGTTCACAAAAATTGCAAGACTACATGAAATATTTAAACTTTTAAAATATGTTACATTCCAGGACCATTTAAAGAAACTAGTCTGATCAAAAATGTGGTCAAAAATGGTAACCGGTTACAGTGTCTGTCTATAAACATACACAAAAAAGTTGATATTGAAACAGTTAAATTCTATGTCATTTGTCAATTAACTGTAGTATTTTGGTGGAAACTGTGTTTCATCATGGTCAATCTTTGAAAGGGACACACAGTTCAACCCAGACTGTTAGTGAAGCACAATAATTCCCCTCACAGACACATTCTGGATGAATATCTTTCCTGTTTCAGCTGCCTTAGACCATTATCAGCCATTATACTCACTCACAGTCTCACATCTGAAGATTACAAACACATGAGCATCATCACCACACAGACCAATCACATTGTGACATCTGTTTCCACAGACACACAGAGTATCTAACACACAACACTGACACCTATTGACCATCCACATTAGCTACTGTGGTTCAGTGATATGGAGTGTGTGGAACTGTAATGTGGGAAAGAATTTAATGTATCTAATTCTCAGGGTTTGCCTGCTAAACTAAAGTGTGTGTGTGTGTGTTTGAGAGCGTGGGAATGTCAAGGACAAACATTTCAAATATTCAGCCCTGAGAGTTTCAATGAACCCTCTGTGTGTGTGTGTGTGTGTGTCTGAACACTCATATGTAAGACACACAGGCTTCTGTGATCTTCTAGAAAGAATATTCTGTGTGTTACATGTGTTTTTGCTCAACTGACATTCAAATCTGTTACCTGTATGCAAATCAAACCTCAAAAAATACCAATGTATTTGGTCACTTAATTCAAACTTTAAACCATCTGATTGTGATTAGATAATAAACCACACTTGCTTTTATTGTCTAATTAAATGACATCCAAACATTTTTAAGTGTTTTCAGTCCAGATACTGTCTGGGTTGCTGCATGTATAACAGTATGTTGGTTAAGCTGATATGACTGATCTGTAAGCTGCAAAAGCAACTAAGCAGTAAACTTGTCTAGCTAAACTTCAATGAAAATTACAAATGTTGTCTTGGCAATTAAATGAAATATGTTGAAGTAATATAATTTTTTTTAACTGAGAAAAATATAGCTAAATAGTAGTGTTTAAAAAACAAAAACTAATAAAAAAATAAATACAAATAACATAACCACAATAATTAATAACTATAATTAGTTATATACCATAACCACTTTGATTAACATGAACTAACAATACACATTTCTAGAGCATTTATTAATCTTAATGCTATAAACACATTTTTTAAATCTAAAGATTAATGAACTAACATGAAGAATGAACAACTGCATTTTTAATAACTAATATTAATAGATTAATAAATGCTGTAAATGTCAATTAATGTTAGCTCATGTTAGGTAATGAATAAACTAATGTCAACAAATGATACTTTATTACCCACATTTTTCTATCATCCTCCCTCAAACACAAACACACACACACACACACACAGGTCTGCAGAAATAATGAGTGGAAATTTTGAGCCCCAAAAGTTTCAAACTACAGCCAGGCGAGAAAAGTAGGTCAGAGAGAGAGAGAGACAGAGAAAGAGACACACACACAGACACACAGACACACACTCACACATGCATACAAAAAGAGAGTGTGAGATAGATAGAGAGAAAGAGAGACACACACACACACACACACACACACACACGCACGCATACAAAAAGAGAGTGTGAGATAGATAGAGAAAGAGACACACACACACGCATACAAAAAGAGAGTGTGAGATAGACAAAGAGAGAGACACAAACACATACAAAAAGAGAGTGTGAGAGAGAGACTGCTTATTTATTAGATGTACTACTGTGGCCAAATGATTTCACATGATCCACATTAAATGTTGAGTGTGAATCAGTGAGTGACGGGAGAAAAGGAGAAAACTGTGTTCATGAAGAGTATGTCTCAGGAAAGAGGAGAGCTAGAGAGATTTTTTCAAAATGGTCTAAATCTCACAAGAGCATGTCCAGGTCACATTTCACCCCAAAACCAAGAAAAGAAAGGAGAAAAGAAGAAACGAAATTATATTTGAAAATGAAGTTGTCATGTTGTTGACATGTTGTCATGTTGAGGAGAAATGTGACCTGGATATGTCTAACACACACACACACAATGTGAATCTTTACCATCATTGATGTTGGGAATCTGTCCAGCGTTCATTCTCTTCTGTTTCTCCTCTTTCTCTTTTTCCGCTTTCTCTCGCGCCAGTTTGGCTCGACGAATCTTCTCCTCTGCTTCTTTCCGTTTCTGGTTCTCTTTCACCGCTTGCTGTAAAACAAACACACACAAGTAAAGTTGTGACCTCAAGATTTCTGATTCACATCTTGTTGTGTTTGTTCAGCTGAAGGAGAATAAAGTTTATAAAGCGTTATGATGAACAGATAAGATAAGTGTGTGTGTTTTGACATGGAGTTTCTGGTCCCTTTATGACAGAGAATATGTCTTGACAAAAGTCTGTTTTAATATACTAAACCGACTGATGACCGAACCATCTGCCCCACACACACACACACAGCACAGCACAGGTGTGTGTGCATAAATACTGTCTCTACACAGAAATCCAAATGTACTACTGTTCAAAAGTTTAGGGTCTATAATATTTTATCTTTATTACTCTTCCACTTATAGAGTTCTTTGAAGCCCATTTTAATTCTGTACTACAGTATGTTGCATTTCTAAGCTGAACTAGAATATTAAAAGAAAAGAAAAAAAAACTATGGTAGGTCTTGATTTATAATATATTATGAAGAATTGGTTGGATGATGAAAAGTGACTAAATGAGGGTTTAAAAAAAATAAGGGAGACTGCTGATGCCATGCACAAAAGAAGCAAAGTTATTACATTTTGATGAAAAATTATTAAGACTATATGTGACCCTGAAGCACAAAACCAGTCATAAGTAGCACGGGTATATTTGTAGCAATAGCCAACAATACATTGTATAGGACAAAATTATCGATTTTTCTTTTATGCCAAAAATCATTAGGACATTAAGTAAAGATCATGTTCCATGAAGACAGTTTGTAAATTTCATACCGTAAATATATCAAAACTTAATTTATGATTAGTATTATGCATTGCTAAGAACTTTATTTGGACAACTTTAAAGGTGATTTTCTCAATATTTTGATATTTTTGCACCCCTCAGATTCTAGATTTTCAAATAGTTGCATCTCGGCCAAATATTGTCCTATCCTCAGTCATAAGTAGCACGGGTATATTTGTAGCAATAGCCAACAATACATTGTATAGGACAAAATTATCGATTTTTCTTTTATGCCAAAAATCATTAGGACATTAAGTAAAGATCATGTTCCATGAAGACAGTTTGTAAATTTCATACCGTAAATATATCAAAACTTAATTTATGATTAGTATTATGCATTGCTAAGAACTTTATTTGGACAACTTTAAAGGTGATTTTCTCAATATTTTGATATTTTTGCACCCTCAGATTTCAGATATTCAAATAGTTGTATCTCGGCCAAATACTGTCCTATCCTAACAAACCATACATCAATGGAAAGCTTATTTATTCAGGTGTACTGACCTGGAACATGTTCCTGAAGTTGTTGAGGTCACCGAAGAACTCTTCTGGACTCATTTTCTTGGGGTCGAAGACAAAGTACTTGCCCAAATCCTCATACTGCTTCTCCATGTTCTCATGCATCAGCTTGAGCTTCTCAAATTGCTCACCAGCCGTTGCTACAAAACTGTACACAACGTTGTCAAGGAAAAATAACACGCTATTATGATTCACTGTAACTCAGTCGTGTAGGACTCAACATTTATATTTATACTGTAAAAAATTACTACATACATTAAATGAGTTGTTTTTTCCCTCATCAGAGAGCAAGTACTAGAACAAACATCCTCACGAACTTCCTGAATGGATTATCATTCATGAATTCATAAGCTCATGTTTGTTCTGGAACCCAAACAGGAAGTGATGTCACAATGGATAATCAACACTGTATTTTTATAGCATTATTGCTTGAGGAAATGACTGGGGAAACCAAAGTGACACTTCCTGTCATGCAACAGGCCCGGGAGGAAGTAAAGGATATGGTCATTTTCTCTACGAATTTGTCTCTGTCGCTCTGCGGAGGGGGGAACGTCTCGATGTCTTTCTCCAGGTTTTTAATCTGCTTTCCCATCTGATCTAGATTCTTCTGAAGCGTCTCTGCTGACACTGAGAGAGAAAGAGCGAGAAAATGATGAATATAAATACATAACCGTTCTGAAATGAGATTAGTAGCACACTACCATTCAAACAATTTTTATTGATTCTGAAAGAAGTTTCTTCTGCTTCTGCATTTATTCGATCAAACACAGTAAAAAAAATTGTAATATAGTGAAATAATATTGCACTTGAAAATACGTGTTTTCTATTGTAATATATTTTAAAATGTAATTTATTCCTGTGATCAAAACTGAATTTTCAGCATCATTACACCAGTCTTCAGTGTCACATGATCCTTCAGAAATCAATCTAATATGCTGATTTGCTGCTCAAGAAACATTTCTGATTATTATCCATTTTAAAAACAACTGCGTTGCTTCATATTTTTGTGGAAACTGTCATATATTTTATTTGTCAGGATTCTTTAGAATAGACAGTTTAAAAGAACAGCATTTATTTGAAATATAAATCTTTTGTAACATCATGAATGTCACTTTTGATCAATTTAATGCATCTTTGTTGAATAAAAAAAAAATCTCACTGACCAAAACTTTTGAATGCTAGTTTATATAAAATAACAAAAGAACCATCGATGAGATTGAGACAGACCTCTGCTGGCTTTCTCCACGTGGATGAGCTCCTCTGAGAAGGTCATGACCTCAGGATACTGCTCCTGACATATTTCCGCCAGGAAGTGCAGTAGAGTCTGTTTCTGATCGGCTGATTTAGTGTCTCTCAACTAAACACACACACACATTTGTTTACTGCCAACTTTGTGGTGACCAACACATCAGGCACTTTCCACAAACAGGGTACAAACCGTAACATTTCAAAAGCTTTAAGAGGCACAAATCACATGTTCTTTAGAAAGAGAACTATTAGATATGTTAGATAAGCTATTAACTCACAGAAAATGAAGTAGAAAAAAGTTACTCTTTAGAAAGACATCAGATGCACACAAAATGTAGAGTGGACAGGATTCGTCAAACTCATTAATGCAGATGTTGGAAATCACCTTGCACAGGTAACTGATGCTGAAGCCGAAAGCTTTGGCGTTGCGTGATCCTGCGTTCATGAAGTTTCCCAGCAGCAGCGTCATCTCCAGCACTTTGGCGAAGCTCTCGCTCTTCCGAAGCTCCTCGCAGGCGGCCGTCACCGCCACCACGTCCGGCTTGACGTTATTCACCTGCTCCTCAAACTGAAGTCTGAAGAGGATGGAGGTCAGACGGGGCTTCAGACGCTTCACTGAACTGACCTACAGAGAGATAAACACATGTATCTGAGCAGTGGCGTAGCAAGTCAGCCCAGGGCCCATATGCAAAAAATTTGTTTTTTTTTGTGTTTAAATTTGTATGGCCCCTCCCCCAAACGTTATGGGAGCCAACTTGGTTAACTTAACTTATTGTTGATTTTTCTGAAGTAACGTTACGTGACTATTCACAAGCTATTTTATTTAAGGTATAAATGCTTGGAAATAGCCTAATATTTAATGTTTTCAAGTCCATTCATTATTTGTATCACTCAAGGCACCCAATAATCGCAATAAACTTTGTGCTTTCTGCTTTGTTACTTTTATTATAACAAAGTCTCAGCCTTATGTCAATTTCATGATAAAATACAAAGAATAAATGTGTTTTTGCGCTCTTTAATTTTTAGTGAGATAACTATATTCGCCTCAGTTCAAGCGGCATGTGAATCAATTATATTTTCCCCTTGAATATTTGCAGCATGAAATAAACATGAATAAATATTTAAATGCATGTTGAAAAAAAATCAGAACAATTTAAAGGGGTCATATGATGCGATTTAAATTTTTCCTTTCTCCTTGAAGTGTTACATGAATCGTCGCTCCGGCCGAACAGGGCATCACAATATGGTAAGGGCCGTAACATTTCCGTCACATGCTTGAGGTATTCGGCCAATCACAACGCACTGGATAGCTGGCCAATCAGAGCACACCTTGCTTTTCAGACATAGAGGGCATAGAGGAGAAACAATAATGTACAGTATATAGCATAAACACATTTCATTACACCAAATACACAAAATAATGTTCTTTTTAGCAACATCATATGACCCCTTTAATACAAACGAATGTCTCATGAAATCGATCAGTCAAGAGTTTAAAAAAACGTCAATAAGCCTATGTTTTATTGCTGTTTTTTGTGTTAAATGTGAAGAATGACAGGTTGGATGCCACAGGCTTTTTTTGGTGGAGTATAGATGGAATTTTCACATTAACTTTATGCAATATGTATAACCTGAGTTTATCATTGTATTTTTGACTTTATTCTTAAAACATTATGACGTTAATCTTTTTTTTTTCTTTCAATGTGGCACTAAAATTATTTGTAGTGAGATAACTATATTCGCCTCAGTTCAAGCGGCATGTGAATCAATTATATTTTCCCCTTGAATATTTGCAGCATGAAATAAACATGAATAAATATTTAAATGCATGTTGAAAAAAAATCAGAACAATTTAAAGGGGTCATATGATGCGATTTAAATTTTTCCTTTCTCTTTGGAGTGTTACAAGCTCTTGGTGCATAAGGCACAGCTAACGTTTTGTTGATATTGTGAGTGCACACAAATAAAAGTAGACCATTTGCAGTTCCGAATGATGTATTACCCTTACCTTTATGAGCAAAAATGAGCGGCGTATTTTAAGTTTCCACTATTATTAAAAAAATAAATAAATAAATGCGCCGGCGCCTCCATGTCCTGCAAAGCGCACTTCAGTTTCCACGCTCCGCATAAATGATTGGATATGCGTCTAATAGCGCACATTTATCCATGTTAAATTTTTTAATGAATATTGTGAAATGCATGGTGTTTTATATAGCTTTTATTTTAAGTCGTGTTGATTTGAGAAGGCTAAATTGATCAAACATATGCTCAACTTACTGCTTGCCGCTGGCCGCTTGGTCTTTACTTTAAAAAACAAAAACTTGAATTTAGCAAACATAAAATGTTCCAAACATATTTCTAAATTAACTTAAAGAAACGAAAAGAAATATAACAACTTTGCCATTAAAAATCTAAACTGAACTATTTTAATGGCTGCAACAGGCAGCTATAAATGGGAAAGAGAGAGAAAAAAGACACAGGCTTAGGTCGGACTCGGGCCAGTAATTCTGATAAGCTGTCGGACAAGGGCTGGGTGGGGCCCGTGCAGGGCTCTATTCGTTCCCTCGTTTCATTTAAAAGTTACCCCTCGGCTCGGCGGGCCCCCAATCTGCCCGGGCCCATATGCACCTGTATACCCAGACGCTATGCCCCTGTATCTGAGTGAATGTTTGTGAGAAGTCATTGGAGTACTAATGCATTAATGAAGTTATATATGTATACACTATACATTTTTACAGGAGTACTTATAAGTGTTTCTCTCACCACAACTCCAAACTGTTCAGACTCAGCCAGCTCCTCATACTCGTCTTTCATCTCTAATAATGTGTTCAGTTGTTCCTGCTCCGGCAGAAGCTTCAGCAAACTCTGAAAAACACACAGCAGCTGTTTAGTACAAGGTAATTACTCAGGAAAAGATGATGCCAGTTTCGTTTGGTGGGTTTTTGTCCACCAAACGTTTTGGTTTGCCCACCAAGACTTTACAAATACAGTTTGGCAATTGCATAAGAGACATTTGCATTTCTGAGGCAAAACACAGTATTCAACGGTATTTTAGGGTGGGGCTTGATTTATATAATGGGGAATTGATTGGGTGATGAAAAATGACTCTATATGAAGCTGGTTGAAAAATTAAAGTTATGTTTTGATAAAATATTACGAATTAAACATTTTTAGTTTTGGAATAACATGCACTAAAGATTCATTCACAATAAGACCAAAAAACAAAAGTAAATAGGAGGAATTTTGCTTTCATTTGAACTTGAAGAGAAATGTCCTTCATTTTAAGATTAAGGATCTCAGCACAGTAATCTAGATATAGATATAGTCTTAAATAATATCAAAACAACAAACTTTTATACAAGGTAATTGGTTGAATTTTCTTTTGATTTCAACATTTGTTGTTTTCTTGCATGCAAAATGAAACATGCATTATAACAAGTTAGGCCGGATTGCTTTCCACTAAAGAAATCCACTTTCCTACCTGCACCATGTTTTCAGTGAGAACTTTCTCGTTGACCTCCAGGATGACATTCTTCATCTCTTCATAAGGCATCCTGTTTGAACCCAAGAATATAGCTGCAACACACACACACACACACACACAGACACACACACACACACACAGAGAGAGAGTTCTGAGTAAACAACACTATAAATTACGGTGTTAAACTAGTGAGATATTTCACATCTGAATGAAGATTCATGCTCAGCTGTTACTCACAGAGATTCTGGGATGTTTTGGAGTCGAGCACCTTCAGCTCCTTCACCTTCTTCTTCTGAGCATTTTTCTTATCCTCAGATGCCTCTTGATCCTTCTTACCTAGAAAAAGACAGAAAGAAAGAGAGATGGTAAATACCCTTGAGTATTTGAGATATCAGCCTCGGGTTCAAAAATGACCTGAAAATGATGTTTCTTGAAGGCTGGACACATCTCTCTCCCATATACACCCACACACAGTATTTCACTGTCTTCATAGAGACTAAATGAGTTGCTATGACACATCAAGTATAGTGACAACGGTGTCCAGTGGTTTGATTTGCTATACTTGATCTAGAAGTACTTTAAACATCAGTTTCAAACTGTTTCATAATTGTCATACACTCAGTTTATTGAACATGTTATTTTAGAGATTAGATTGATTTGTACTTTTAAAAATTCACGTGTCACACCATAGTGGTGTTATTTTAGAATTATTTATATCCTATTATTATGACATTTAATATATTTGATCACATTTCATTTAAGTTTATTTTAATTTTAGTTTGAACAATTTTATGTGCTTTTGCCAATTTTATTAGTTTTTAATATTTCTATTTAGCTTTGATTTTATATATTTATATAGTTTTAGTAATTTAGCACTTTTTAGAAATTTTAGCTTTTTAATATTTCTATTTAGCTTGAGTTTTAGTACTAAAAGTAAACTTATTTAAGTTAGTTGCTAGGGTGACATTTCTAATTTTAGAGTTTTTACTCATTCATATTTAATTTTATTCCAGCATTATTTTAATTACAGAATATGATTTTCTATAGTTAGATAATAATAATAATAATATTTCTATTTTTTATATATATTTCTATTTACATCTTATTTTCTTTATTTTTCACTTAATAATTATACTTCATTAATCAAATTTCATTGCAGTTATATTTCTATGACAGAAAACACTTTTTAATAGTTACAATATCAACACTACATCAAAGTACTATTTAAGTGAAATACAAAAAAAAACATACAATTTGATTAATTTTAAAAAAGGTCATGCACAAGTTATTTGTACTGGACATGACAGCTGTACAAAAAATAATTTATGGCTCAAAATAATTAGAATTATTATAACAAATAAAAGAGACGTGGCAACTTCAAACAGCATAGGAAGTATCTAATATAGAAACGAAAAGGATCTCTGTACACACACAAACACACATAAACATGAGTGTGCTGGCATTTCTGTTTTAAAGACAGACTGTGAGGAGCAGGAGGAGGTCAGAGGTCAGGGGTCAGGACTCAGGGTCGAGAGTCAAACGCCCAACAGCTTTAATGAAATGTGAAGACTGAGGTTCACACTACTGACAAGTCTCCAGAGAAACCCCATGGACACACACAGCATCAGATGACCATCAGCTCGTGTGTGTGTGTAATAATCACTGAAACACACAATCAAGATCAGATAAACATCCTCATCTCTATCTGCAGTCTGGACTGTAATTCTCTTCCATCCTCTCACGCTCATGTCCACGTCTGTCTTTTATTCTTTCTCTTCTCTCTCTTTGAATAGTTTCTCTCCTCCATTTTCAGGCTCCTTTCAAACTGATTTTTTTCTCTCTGTACCTCATTTCCGAGCAGTATATTTGTGTCTGGCATCTGTGTGTGTGTGTGTGTATTGAGTTACAGCAGCATATGGAGCCGCTCAAGAGAGTGAGTAGCTCTGGATTACATTATACACACACACACACACACACATACACACACACACACACACACACACACTTTCACTCTCAATTTTACACATTAGGTCTTAAAGAATGGCTGCTCATGTTCACTTATGTAAGACACACGTGTACATGCATCGAACTCTAAATGAGGATGTATATAAACATGTTTAGATATTAATCTAAAAATTACATGATCCAAGCCGAAAGCCTAAAATTAAATATTATTAACCTGATTTATGAATCATCAAAAAGTTTAGCTAAATAAATCCTAAAACAATTAATGAATCCAAAAAGTAAAGCTAAATGTAGTGTTTTTGTTGACCACAGTAAAACACGACAACATCTCAATCAACCAAACACAGATTTGTATCTTCTCTGACAGCATAGCAAAGCCCTGACACTTAAAGTACAATGTGACTTTAGATCCTTAAAGATCCTTAAGCTTCTTACACAGTTTCATATGAATCTATAATTGCACAATAATAACTATGTATTTTTGCAGAAACTATGCGTACAATGGTAATGCAATGGCCTCTTATTAATAGTCCTGATATTCTTATATTATTTCTTATTTTTCTCTTTGCTTCTTACTTATTTTTAACATTTTAAATACTTTTTTACATTTTTATTAGGTTGTTTCATTAAGCTTTAATAAATTATTACAGTTTTAGTTTAAATTCTTTTATTATTTAGTACTTCAACAAACTAATTTCACTTATTTGCCAAGACAACATTTCTAATTTAATATTTTTAATTTAATATTTATTTATTTTATTCCAGTTTTTTCTCTTTATTCTATTTTGTTAGAATAAAGTGAATTGAAAAAAATAAATGATGTTACCTTTAAAAGGTCATAAACACATTATTTGTACTGTAATTTATAGTTGTAAAAATTAGTTCATAATTCAGAATTACAAAGAAAACAGACCTGACAACATCAAAAAAGGAAATATCTATTTCATCATTTTTAATACATTTTAAATTGATTCACAATACTTCTTTAAAAAACGAAAGTGTTATTTTCAGATTTTATGCATTTTTAATACTTTATTAGAAATCCCATTTATGTAAAGCACTTTGAATTATTGTATATGAAATGTGCTTCTGTATATAAATAAACTTGCCTTTCCTTACTATGCATGATTCTTACTAAAAGAAAGAAACTTAAATTATAAACATCTTGAATTTGTGACTCTTGAGTTTTGAGGAAAAATAAAAAAGAAAGTGAATACTAGATAGAGATAGTTTTGCTTATCTATGGCACATTATGGCCTGAATTCTCAGTCAGTGGGTCAGTGTGTGATTGATTCTGCGCTCAGCCAGAGAACACACACACACACACACACACACACACACACACACACACACACACACACACACACACACACACACACACACACACACACACACACACACACACACACACACACACACACACACACACACACACACACACACACACACACACACACACACACACACACACACACACACGATACCAAAACTCATTTATGAGCCAATGGTGCCTCTGCAGGTCACAATGAGAACTGCAGCACAACTACAGCACATCTGTGTTACATTACCTTTACATTTAAGAGTGCGTGTGTGAGATTGCACAATCAGGAACTATCAAACACAGGCTCTTTAATGTTACTGTTTCTGGATTGTGTTGTAAAACTCCTGCTGTCTTTTGTATTTTTGTCTTGCCTGAGGTCTATTCATCCATTCAGGCTTTTATCTTCCTCTCATGGAATCCAGTCTCAGTACACAGCTGCTTCACACAAAAGAGCTCCAACACACACCTTCAATTCAGGACATATCATTTATCATCATTGCTTTTTTTTCTCCATAAAGACAAATGTGACTACAGACAAAACTAAAACATACAAGAGAACTTTTAGCACTTAAACACACGCGTAAAATATACAGTATTATATATTATACATATGGTAACATATCTTAATATACTGTATTATATTGTATATTATACGTGTGTATACTCACCAAATGACAAAATACCTCAAATGTTTTTAAAGGGAGGATTAGTTGCATTCAGCTCACTTCTTGGGACAAACTATAAATACTTTAAACCATTAACACACACACACACACACACACGTCTGGTTTGCTATCATTGTGGGGACATTCCATAGGCGTAATGGTTTTTATACTGTACATACCGTATATTCTACTGCTCTACACCAACCCTACACCTAAACCTACCCCTCACAGGAAACTTTGTGCAATTTTAGATTTTCAAAAAAATTCATTCTGTGTGATTTATTAGCTTGTTTACCCATGGGGACCTCAATTTAGGTCCCCACCGTGACATGAGTCCCCATGTATTCGGGTTTAAGTCCCCACCAGAATAGAAAAACAGGTACACACACACACACACTTATGTTTATTTCTGTAAGTGTCCAGCTGTTTTTCCACTTCTGTGTCCTGTCTCTGTCTCTTTGTCTGTCTTACATGAAAATCATTGTGTTTCTGCGTATATTAGTTTAGCTTGAACCACAGCCATCATGTCTGCTCTTTCTGGAACTCCTGATCTCACTTTAAACACACACACACACACACACACACACACACAGCCGCTCTTCCTTTCCATACAAGGCAAGAGTTTATGCGAGTGAAAGGTCACAGCGAGAGAGACAGACAGACACGTCCAGCATGTTAAAGGGAATGCGAGTGAACTCCAGCTCATCAGCAAACCACACACAAGCTCAATGCAATCCACTCGCACAGAGAGAAACTTTGTTCTTTCATCTGGCTCTCTTTCATTAGAGAGTATTTTTAGTTTAAAGTGTATTGATGACAGCCTCCTTTGTTCTGTTGAAGTTTATGGTGGAGTGCCAGCGCCTCTAGTGGACAAACTAACACACTGCAGCACAAACTTACACTTAACTGATTTCAAAACACTAAACTTTACCTCAGAGAGTTTGCTTTTGAAATCTGTAGTAAAGTTTATGCTAAACATTCCACTAGAGCTTGAAATACATATAGTCTAGGGAACAGACAGTGTTGCAGTGTTGATGTAACTTGAATGTGTCTGTCTTGGTGTAATTTCTTATATTTTACTGAATCCACTCTCCTTTGTGGATTTATTGTCCTTTAGCAACTAGTGAAGAATCTGTTACTTTTAAAATGCAAACTTTGCTCTATTCCAACACTCTGAGAATCTGAAGTGTTTCATTACACATTTTTCAACACACGCAAGCACATTTACACACAAAGTCTTCAAGGAAAGAATGTTTCTCCTCTTGAGAGAAAGGGAATGTACTTGTCAGCAAGTACACACACACTCCATAATTCAGTAATCTAATAGAAACCGAACTCGATGCCTGCAGGAATGCAGGGAGTTCGACACAATGAAAGAATGAGAA